TTTCGCACATGCTAGAAGGTCTCCATATCTTGGGTCATGTTATTGAGTGAATTCATTTTGCCACTTAGAAAAAATTGTGTGAGGGATGGCAGAGACTCAGACGTTTGCATGTTCATACCCACAGTACCAGTACCCACAACAGCCCCACATCGGAAGCAACCCAAATGCCCATCAGTGGATAACGTGGTATCCACGTACAATGGAATAGCACCCAGCTTTAAGAAGGTAGAGAATTTGGAACACGAGCTTCCCCCTGGGTGAGCAGTAAGGACACTATGCTAAGTGAAATGAGCCGGTCACAAAGGGACTAATACTGCGCCATCCCACTGAAGTATCTGGAGTGCTCAAATTCACACAGACAGAAAGGAGAATAAGGGCCAAGTGTGGTGGCACACAGCTGTAATTCCAGTGGCTTGGGAGACTGAGGCAAGAGGATCGAGAGTCCAAAGCCAGCCTCAGCAACTTAGCCAGGCCCTAAGCAATTTAGTGAGACCCTGTCTCAAAATAAAATATAAAAAGGATTGGGGGTGTGGCTAAGCACCCCTGGGTTCAATTCCCAGTACAAAGAAGGAGGAGGGTGGGGGAGGAAAGAAAGAAAGGAGGATAAGGCCACAGAGGAGTGAGGAGAGGCGGGAAGGAGAGCTGTTGCTTCATGAGCACAGTTTCGGTTTGGGAAGATGAAAGAAAGTTCTGGAGATAGATGGTGCAGAAGGGTTGCGCAACAGTGTGAATCACTTAATACCTCTGAGCTACACACTTGAAAATGACTAAAATGGTAAGTTTTATGTTATGTCCACCTTATCACAATTTTTTAAAAAGCATAACATCTACGAGCGGCTGTAGAAAGCTGTGTTAGGTGTCTCAGAGAGCTTTGCTAGTCGGATACAAGGGGTTGTGTTGGATGATTCTTGATGATTTACCCTCAGTTCTTTCTGTGAAACAGAGGTTAATTATGTTGATTAAAAGCATTAATCCCTCTGGATGCTTAAGACACCACTAAGAGCAATAGTGACAGAAACACAGTCTGCAAGGAAAATGGAATGTGGTTTTGCTTTCCAAGGGATCCGGCGAGAGGTTTTGGCTGAAAGAGCCCAGTTATTCCAGAACATGAAAAAGGATTAAAAGACAAAACATGAATATATAGACAAGGTTCGCTGAAAGCAGTTTTATTTGCCCTAATTTATAATGCCTGGAAATCAGCTATGAAATGTATTAACATTTTGCCAAATTGGTTTCATTATGATGGGTTTGAAAATAATAATAAACAAAAACTCATGAAACATTAACGGCCATGATATTCTACTAATGCAAAACTAGAATTTGGCTCCATCTCTATTAAAATGATAAGTTGGTCTCAGAGTTCTCAGCAAGGGCTCAAAATGGGTGACTATGATAGGCGTGGTGACTCACACCTATAATTCCAGCAGCTTGGGAGGCTGAGGCAGGAGGATCAAGGGTTCAAAGCCAAGCTCAGCAACTTAGTGAGGTCCTGAGCAACTTAGTGAGACCCTGTCTCAAAGTAAAAAAATAAAAAGGGCTAGCAATATGGCTCAGTAGTTAAATGCCCCTTAGTTAAATCTCTAGTACAAAGAAAAAAAAAAGGCGGAGTGGTGGTGGTGACTATTTTTCTCTGTGTAAGCTACATAGGTAACAGATTCTATCTCACCACAATAATTTCTGGTTTGTTTTTTCCATACCATATCCTAATTTTTTAAAGAACAAGCAAAGTCACCTCCCTTATGAAAGAGCTCATTTTTCTTGTAATCACATTACCTTCTCCCATGTTTATTTCAAAATATTTTATTCTACTATTACTTTAAGTTAGGTGACCAACTGCTATTTCTGGGTCCCAGGATCCTATCTTAATCTAGGGCTCACGTGTTCTCTGCCAGCTCTTTTAATGTTGCTTCCCCTAAATGGAGGGGGGAATTAAAATAAAATATTGAGGTTATCTTTCTCTATATTTCTTAAATACTTCAATACATATTATAAGGAGCATCATGGGAACACCTGCTACACCCTTCCGTCCAAGGCTAAATTTACACTGGCAAAATGCTATTAAGATAAATATTTCAGCAATGTCCTGCGCTGTGGGGGAGACCCTGGAGATTTCTCAAAGCCTTTGCTATCCATGATATGTTCTTGTCTTCAGGGGGAGGCACTGATCAAACCCTTATGAAATAATTATGCGCGTCCCCTGGCAGGGTGTTCGGCTCTCCTCCTCTCGGGGCTTGTTAGCTCCTCTACTAAATCACCACAGCCTTTTTGTCTGTACTAGACAGGTTTCTGCTTTCCTCGGATTGCCTGAAGGCTCTGCTATGATCTGCAGGTCACAGCTTTTGTCTTCAACAAGGAAAAAGTCAAAGACTAAAGAAAAAGGACTGTCCCAGAGCTATTTATGCTTCACTTGGATGCTGGCTTCTGGGCTGACATTGGATGACCTTCACGTGGACCTGATGGCCTGAGGATTTGAAGCGCTTTTGAGTCCAAATGCAGACAGTTTATCCAAGATCCAGCAGAACCCAAATTAATGACATGGCTCTGAAAGAACAGCTGCAGGGACTCTGGTTGTGGTTATTTGTTGGGAAGATGGTTGATAACTATTTATTATTAGTCTACTTTAATAGACCTGGGAGGAAATTCTTTCTCTTTCTTCTTGAGCTGTTTCTAATCCTCAGTTTGGTACATCAGACATTTGTAAACTGAAATGAAACATTTTATTTTATTTTATTTTTTTAAATAAGCACTCTACTGACTAAGCTATATTCTCAGCCCTGATCTGAAATCTTTTTCTTTTTTTTTTTTTTAATTATTTATTTATTTTTTAGTTTTCGGCGAACACAACATCTTTGTTTGTATGTGGTGCTGAGGATCGAACCCGGGCCGCACGCATGCCAGGCGAGGGCACTACTGCATGAGCCACATCCCCAGCCCCTGAAATGAAACATTTTAAATGGTATCTGAATCTCACTGCCCCCTCACGGATTTAGAAACCAATGCTTTCACAGAAGCTCCTTACTTTCCAAAGCAATATAGTTAAAAGAATCTGGCCACTTTTTTACAAGGATGTAATTGGACAAAACAATTGTGAGCCAGGTGTGATGGTGCACACCTGTTATCCCAGCTACTTGAGGCTAAGGCAGGAAGATTGCAAGTTTAAGGTCAGCCTGGGTGAATTAGTGACATGCTGTCTCAAAACAAAAAATAAAACAGGGATTAGAGATTATTCCAGTGGTAGAACGCTCCTGGATTCCATTCCAAGTACCACCAGAAAAAGGAAAAAAAAAAAAAATATTGTGTAACCAAGGCCCTACCTGGGGTGTCACTTTATAAAATGATCCTCATTTAATCAGGTGTGAGCAAAGACCTCTCAGGAAGCTGTTTTGGAACCAAATGAGAAGGAAGGTCACTTCCTGGCAGAAAAACTGGGGACTTCGACAAGAAAGGAAGCCACTTAAATCTATAGGTGCCATCTGCTGGAGAGAGTGTCTTGGGCGTGATTTCCTACCTTAGGATTCAAGTAGGATGACAACCCTCCCCAGGTTCCCCAGGACTTTCCCAGTTTTAGCAAGCAAATCCCATATTCCAGGCACCCTCAAAGTCCTTGGAAAACTGGGACAGCTTGTCACTTAGAAGGGCAAATTACAGAGGTTTTTAATGTCCAACCTACGATTTCATATCAAAACTTCTGAACAGAAGCTAAAATGGGCCTAATACTACCAAGTCTTGATTTTGCCAAAAATTTAATTTAATTCATACTCTTTTTGCACATGTGCAAATAATAAGACCAAACCCAATCAAATCTTTCATACATCAAGAAAAAATTAGGATATTATTTTCAATCAGAAAAATTATCTGAAACTTGGAAATAAGATAAAAAGGTAGGAGCTGGGGTTGTGGTTCAGGGGCAGAGTACTTGCTTAGCACGTGTGAGGCACTGAGTTCGAGCCCCAGCACCACATAAAAATAAATAAATAAACTTTAAAAAAAAAAGACAAAAGGTAGGAAGCACATCTTTTCCATATTACATAGAGGCGAAGACTACATGCATTGTCTAAACCAGAGAAGGGATTTAGATCATTGTATTATTTATCTATAATTAAAAGTCCCTGATAGGACTGGGGTTGTAGCTCAGTGGTAGAGCATTTGCCTTGAATGTGTGAGGCACTGGGTTTGATCCTCAGCACCACATAAAAATAAATAAAATAAAGATATCGTGTCCATCTACAACTAAAATAAATAAGTAAATAAATATATATATATATATATCCCTGACTAAAGTTACTTGCCACCTGGAAGATTTTTATCCAGGGAAAACAGAAAGAATTTTTATCCAATAGAACAAAAACCCCAAAGATTTATGGCCTGTTAGACATTAGCTATGTTTAACACTGAACTCAGCAATCTTAAACACTTTTCTGTCAAATTGCCTATAAATATCCTATTGCTCAAGGGCTCTTTGAATGAGTCAAAACATCTTTCTGTTTCCCTCATTAATTAATAATGATAAAAGTAAACTAGACAAGACCTTTGATAAGTATTGATTTCATATTTACTCAAGTCATTTTTTTTTCTTTTTACCTTTTTGAATCACATTTCAATATTTACACCTTACTGTGGCCTTGAAGGTCAGTTCTGATGGGGAAAGGACAAAAGTACCAGCATAGAAGAGCAGGCCCCTTGAGACTCTAGCAACCCATAACAGGCCCTTTTGCAATGAATGAGGAGAAAGCAAATTAAAATCAGTCAATCTCGGTCTGGGCCATAGCCCAAGACTCCTTACTGGAACACACAACCATGGCTGATCTTATATTAAAGTCTATAGTCATCACCAGGAGCAGTGGTGCCTGTAATCCCAGCAGCTTGGGAGGCTGAGGCAGGAGGATCGAGAGTTCAAAGCCAGCCTCAGCAACTCAGTGAGGCTCTGAGCAACTTAGCAAGACCCTGTCTCAAAATATAAAAAAGGGCTGGGGCCGGGTGGCGAACCAGTCTCCGGCACCATGTCTGGTTTGTCTGGCCCTGTAGCCCAGAGTGGCCTCCACCCCCGTTGGCATTGCTGTTGGCATTAATGCTCCGACCCAGCTGGGTCCTCGCCATCTCTTTCCATCTGCCCGTTAACTCCTGCAAGTGTCTCCACGAGGAGATCCACAAGGACCTGTCGTGACGGGCGCCTAGGAGATCGCCGACCAGTCTGGGGGCGCTGGCAGCCTGTGCACCCACCTCAAGATCACAGATTCTGCTGGACATATTTTATACTCCAAGGAAGATGCATCCAAGGGGAAGTTTGCCTTTACCACTGAAGATCATGACATGTTTGAAGTACGTTTTGAGAGCAAGAGGACAGGGCGGATCCCTGACCAACTGGTGATCCTAGACATGAAGCATGGAGTGGAGGCGAAAAATTATGAAGAGATGAACAAAAGTTGAGAAGCTCAGACCATTAGAGGTGGAGCTAAGATGCCTAGAAGACCTTTCAGGATCTATTGTTAATGATTTTGCCTACATGAAGAAGCAAGAGGAGGAAATGCGTGATACCAATGAGTCACCAAACACTGAGTCCTGTACTTCAGCATCTTTTCACTGTTCTGCCTTATGGGACTAGCCACCTGGCAGGTCTTCTGCCTTCGTCGCTTTTTCAAGGCCAAGAAGTTAACTGAGTAATGAGACCAAATCTCCTCCTCCCTCGTGAATCTCAGCCAGCAGAGCATCGCTGGGACGCGCCTGACCTAAGGCATCCTATCAACAGCAGCACCATGAAGGCACACTGAAGCTTTCTTGCCAGAACAGATCTTTTTTGGGAGGACTTGGGGTACTACCTACACTCAACAAGTCAATGAGGGGCTTCTTTTTAACTCGGGAGGATTTGGACTGGTTTTGCAACAATAGGACTAGTATTAGAGTCACCCGGGACAAAAAATAGGGGTTCCCTAGATAATGCCAAAGTCAGCATTGGTCTTGGGTTTCCTCCCGTGATCTACGTGAACCATGTTTGCTTTCCTTCTCCCACTTGCTCAGCGGCTTGGGCTTTCACTCTAGTTCTTTCACCAAGATTTGTACGACCATGTTGAACTTGTTTCATTCTCATTGTCCTCTTTGGGTTTCCTTCTAAAAACATCCTGGCCCTTAGCGGAAATGTTTACAAGATTCTCTTATAAGGAGTCGTGAAGGTGATACCTTATAAAAGTGAGCTCAGAACTGTAGATAACTTCTTAAAAATTTTTTTCATTTTAGACAATTAAAATATTTGTGCTCAAAAAAATAAAATAAAATAAAAAATAAAAAAGGGCTGGGGATGTGGTTCAGTGGTTCAGTGCCCCTGGGTTCAATCCCTGGTACCTAATAATAATGATGATAATAATAATAATAATAATAATAAAGTTTATAGTCATCAATCTGGTTTGATTTCCAGGGTTCTGACTGCTCCCCAAGAAAAACTTTGCTGCATAACAGGCCTGAAATTATACCACTGGCAAATTTCTCCTCTGGTTTAAAATCCTCTCCTTTGTTAAAATGCAAATGCTCCTGGAAGAGGGCGCCCCAGGAAGCCTTATCAGTCCTTTCCATGTGGGTTTAAACAAAGCCCTAGTCTTTTCTGAGCTGCTGGGACAGCAGGTTTCCCGAGTCTGCAGAAGAGGGACTCAGGAGTTAGGGTGGGGCCTTGAGCTCACCGCCAGGTCCTCGCGGGTGACAAACCCCCTCTCCTGGGCTCCACAGTCCTGGAAGAAGGCCTGCAGTTCCGCATCTGCCTGGGCGGACCAGGCCTCTGGCTCTGGGGCTACCGGGGCATCCTGGCCATCAGCTGGCTCTCTGGTCTGCCGTCGCCGACTGGAGCCCAACCTCCGGCCTTTCCGAGGTATTTTCTGTCCATTTTCCATGGCGCCTTGGACCTGGGGACCGAGGAGAATTAAGTGGGCACTGGGCTGCGAAGAAAATCAAAACCCTCTCGTGTCTCCCCATCACCCCCGCAAGAAACTCCACCATCGCCCATGAGCCCTGTCTGATCCGTCCCTGGCTGGACCCTCTGTCCTTGTCCCCCATCGTCCCTACCTCTTGCTCAGGGCCTGGCCTGGAGTGCGTTTCCCCAGCTCTCCACAGGTCCCCATGAAACTCTTCTTTGGCCACCCTATAAAATGGCCCCAGGCAGTTGTCCTAGGAGAAGGTCACCTAGTGTCTGCCCAGACTTGCTGTCTCCTGCTGCTCTGCCAGCTCATCTCTGCACACCCTGGCAGCATCCAAATGACTGCTCTGGCCCTCTCCCTCCCTCAGCCTCCCTCTCCAGCTCTCCTCTCCTCCTTTGACACACGCATCACATCGTGAACCCATGTAGCAAAGCGTGCCACCTGACACGCACCCCTCTTCCTTCCCTCCTCACACCCTCGTGATCCATGGGGACCCTGAGGAAAAACTGGTGGCTCCAGGAATGTCAGATTCTCCCACTCCCAGCTCCCATTGCCCCAAATCTCTCTCAACTCTCTCATCCCTGGTCTAGCTCATACCCTCCCTTCCTCAGGAAGCCTTCCCTACAGTCACCCTCGTGCTTCAGGCTCAGTGTCCCCTTATCTGTGACCTGCTATGGTTTGATTGTGTCCCCAAAAGTTCATGTGTTGGAAACCCAACCCTCAGTGTGGCAGTGCCGGGAGGTGGAGCCCCACGGGAGGTGCTCGGGTCATGGGGCTCCATCCTTCAGGATGGATTCAGGCTGTCATTGCGGGAGCAGGTCTGTTACTGCAGGAGTGGGTTCCTTAGTAAAGGGTGAGTTCAGGCCCCTCTTGCTCCCTCTTGCCCTTCTGCCTTCCACCATGGGATGATGCGGCAAGAAAGCTTTCCTCAAATGCCAGGGCCTTGATCTCCTAGATGTCTGTGCTTCATACATTACTCAATCTGTGCTATTCTGTAAGACAGTCCCCTGATGCCTGGGATCCCCTGGTAGGGACGTCTCTGTGCATCTCAGTCTACACCGATCCTAGAACCTTAGTGCATAGCAGGTGCTCAGACATGAATTGTCAAATTCATTCACTGGGGCCCCTTCATCTGTTGCTAAAGGCCTTAGTTCAGTCAGTTGACAAGAATTTTGAGATAAACGTCCTCCGGTAGAGGACCCCAGGGTAAGGACAAGGGACGCTGGGCCTGCCCTCAGGGCAGTGAGTCTAGAGCACCGGGACCTGTCGAGAATGGGAAGACGCTGATGGGCACTTAGGGTGGCTTCTGCAGGGAGTGGGACGTGAGCAAGTTCTCAAGGAGGCAGGTGGGATTTGGAGGCGGCAGAACCTGTCTGTGCTGTGGAGGGAGGAGCCTGTTATGACCTGGGTCTGGAACATCCTCCAAAGGCTCGGTGTGTCAAAGGCGTGGTCCCCAATGCACCCACGTTGAGAGGCATTGACTCATGAGGACTCTGGATTAACCCTTTGGTGGTTCTGATCGAACAGACTATTAGGAAGGGGTGGGAACTGCAGGAGGCGGGGCCTAGTTGGAGGGAGCAGGCCATTGGGGGGCGTGTCCCGGAGGGGGTCCTCTTGTCCTGGGCCCCTCCCCCAGTCCAGCCCCCATTTCTCCACCTCGCCTTCTCCACCGTGATGCTCGGAGCCAGTTGGCCACGGCCTAAAACCTCTATAAAGCCACGAGCTTACAAAAATCTCTCCACTAAGTTGTTTTTCTCAGGTATTTTTTCACAGTACCCAAAAGCTGACCGACACAGGGCCAAAGGCTGAATGGAACTGTCCTAGGGCTCTGCTTCAGGGACAATGGGCTCATCCAGGGGGTCGGGGCCATTGATGGAGTCTCAACAACTTAGGGAGGTCCTGCCTCAAAATTAAAAATATACTGGAGATGCAGCTCAGGGGCAAAGCACCCCCGGGTTCAATCGCCAGGGCCTGCCCCTGCCCCGTATTCAACATTCAAGGGACTGAAACAAATGACACCTAGCCAGGCGCCGTGGCGCTCGCCTGTAATCCCAGCGGCTCGGGAGCCTGAGGCAGGAGGATCTTGACCTCAAAGCCAGCCTCAGCTACTTAGCCAGGCCCTGAGCACCTTAGTGAGACCCTGTCTCAAAAAACCAGGTGGGGGGCTGGGAATGTGGCTCAGCGGTTAGGGGCTCCTGGGTTCAATCCCTTTATATCCCCAATATAAAGAAATGACACTTAAATACAACTGTGGTCCTTAGGTGGATTCCTCTTCAGGACAGGCCTGGGAATAGGGGTGTTTTGGGATCAACCAGGGAGATGTGAGCATGGCCGGGTTAAGCTGATGTTGGGCGCTGTGAAGTCTCCTGGGCATGATGAAGACGTGGCAGTCATGCTGGGGACTCTCCTGTCCTTTAGAGGCAGGGGATGAGGTGTCTTGAACTCACCTTTAGAGGTGACTCTAAACAAATACATAACAAATGAAAAAGGTGCGTGGTGGAGGGGACGTGCAGAGAGCTACGGGCAGAGTCAGCCCTCAGCACAGCGCCGCCCGCTGAGCTATTTGATCAACTCTTCTTAATAAAAAACCAAAAAGACTAGCCAGGGTCTAGAATAAGGAAGTCCCTCTGTTAATCTGACCACACTTCACCTAGTATTTCACAACCACAAACTGTCCCGTGGAAACAATGATGAGGTGCACATCCCACCTTGGGCCACATCTGTCAACACCCAGAAAGCCACTGTCCATCTCTGTTCACTGTCCCCCTACAAGGGGGACCATGTGGCTCTCCAGGGACTAGTGGAGCTTATCCTGGCACCTCTGGGTTATAGTTAAAGAAAGACTCACTGAGCATCAGTATCAGAAGAGAACCACTTTCTCTCTCTAGACCAAGAGATGTGGTAAAGGCGGCCACAGAGAGGGAGTGGCCTCTGGTCATACTGCTCAAAAGTCACGCAGACCTCTGACCTTCCCAGCTCTGCTGCTCATTTGCTGTGCAGCCTTGGGCAACTCACTTAGCCTCTCTGTGCCTCAGTTTCCTCAAAGGATTAATATCTACCACATCGAGACGCTGTGAGGATTAGATGATTGAAATGGCAACACTATCTCCCATTCCTCAGCAGCGCCCACCTCCCTGTTCACCTTGACTTTCTCTTAGCACTTGTCACCATCTCAGAATAGTCTCTTACTCTTTTATTTTATAAATTTCCATTTCCGTTTACTGAGATACATGCCTTCTGTGAGTAAGGTTTCACTCTTGGCCACCGCTCCATCCCAAATGGCTAGATCAGCGCTTGGCATACAGTTGGTGCTCAGCAAATATTTGTTGAATATGTAATCCACGTCAAGCTCTTTTGTTCGGCACACAATGACCCTGGGTGAGGTAGTGCTGACATTGACGGGGGTGAAATCCTATTTGACTTGTAGAAAAGCCAGGACGGGTGCAGGGTGACTTCTCCCCGTTGCTCAGGTGGGGAAGCAGAGGCCTCAGCCGCCCTGAGCTGGCAATAGATTCTGCACTCCGGGCCCCTCTTGGGATGAGCTTACCCAAGACATTTACTGGGACAGTGGCCTTGCAGCGGGCAGAGGCCCCTCTGGGGGTCACAGACGCCGGCGGGCAGTGCTGGGAGGGACAGGGGCTGCAGAGCGGGCCAGATGTGGGCTGGCTGTGCTCGTGTGGTGTCACTCGGTCTCGGTACTTGGACACTCAGAGCCGCTCACGTGGGCTTCCGGCGGCGGAGATAAGGGGCAGGGAACAAGAT